TGGAGGCCCCCCCCCCCCCCCCCCCCCGCCCATCGAAACAACATTATGATGACATTATCATCAGGTGGCTGCCGACCGCTCTGTGGAGACATCTGTGCGGCACCTGGCTCTGGAATTTCTAGTGTCTATCGTAGAGGCGTCGCCCGCTATGTGCCGGAAGATGCCAGGAAGGGGGATGGAGGGCGCAGGAGTGATGGGAGGCGGTGACGGTGCTGGCGGTAACGGCGACAACGCGTTCGCGACGAGCGTGATCCCCGTGTGTTTTTCGATGATGGCGGAGCTGCCGGTGAGAGGTTGTGTCTAAACTGCAGTATGTGTGTGTCTGCGTCGACGTTGATTCTCGCATTGACTCACCGCTGCACAACTCCGTGCCCGCCTAACCCTACCCGTATCCCTAGCGCTCCTTCTCGATATCTACTGAAAATGACGGGTTCATGCTGCCGCCCATCGTGTTGGTCAAACCACAACTTTTTTTTGTCTAGGATTGTGTTGTGTTGTGTTTGCTTTTTTTTGTCTTCAGTTTTGGAGACGGCATGTGGGTTGCACGTACAGTACAAACATTGCGAATTCTTGAACTTTTTTTGTCTTTTTCTTCCTTCTGCGCTCGTCAGGAGAACGAGTCCTGGGCTCTGGGGGAGACGGAGGAGGAGGACTCTGTCGAGGACAACGTTTGCGAGGTGACAAGTGGAAGAATGAGACTAGAACTAGAGGCACCCGGTAGCTGCGGTTTGGAGCTTGGAACCAGTACACGCCGATGTATTGTAAACGTCGCGTGTGTTTAGTCTTTTTGGCACGCCATTGCTTTTTGTGGTATCTTCACGCAACGAAAACGACGTCGCCTGACCACTCGCGAAAACCAACCCGCAAGGGAAGAAACTACTCAGTTTCTTGTTCCATTTTGGTTTCACCTGTCCGCCCCGTCTACATTCGTACATGTTTCACTGTAGACGCAGCAACGTCTTTGCGGTTGTTTTTTCTTCCAACCGTTACGTTTCCTTGTTTTTTTTTTTCAGGTGGGGTCGGAGGCACTGGAGAGAGTCGCGAGGGCTCTTGGAGCAAGGGCCGCGCTTCCCGTGTGCAGGCAGTTGGTGAAGGAGGGTCTTGCTGGGTGGGCGTGGCAGCAGCAGCACGCGGCCTTGTCGGCCCTGGGCATCCTCGCCGACGGTAAGACGAGTGTTGGTATTGGCCAGAACGGGAACAGTCCCGTGCCAGCCCTTTCTCTCTCTCCGCATCATAGGTTCGGACTTGCCTGCTACGCTGATTGCGCAATCTTGTCCGCGGGGGCTCGCAACGAATGGAGACCGTTCGTGCTAGTTGGAACTATCGGCTTGGCCTCGGCAAAGCCTGTACTTGAATCCTATACATCCATGCATTCACACGCCTGAGTCAACTCGTCCCAGGAGCCCTGCTTCTGCGTCGTGCACGAAATTAGACAAACCCGAATGCACCGCAATCTGCCCTCACTACCCCCCACCCCACGCCCCCCACCCCTTCCCGCAACAGTGTTCAACCAGCCGCAAGGGGAGGAAGGGTTGGAGATGCGAACCGAGGCGTTGTCGCAGCTTCTACCCTTTATCGCATGCTCGAGGCCCCGTGTCCAGCACGCCTCCCTCTGGGCGCTGGAGAGGATGGCAGAGGACCAAAGCCCAGGTTTGGCACCAATAATACCCGCTCCGCTTGGCACGAAAGCGTCGTGTCGTATCTAGTTCTTGCGAGCGATTCTACCCCTCCCAATATTGACAAGCTTTCTTTCATAAGGGCGGGTCAGTCGCCACGTCTTGGACCATTTGATGATGACGGGTACGAAGTCGTGTTGTTTTTGGTTGGTTTGTTCGAAGCCCGTTTGTTAATGCTGGGCCGCCATGCAATCGTCAAGAGCTCATGATTTTTTTTCTCGTTTTTTTCTGCTGTGCGCTGTTGTTAATTGATTCGACCAGAGCTGCAAGAAGAACACCACGAGGTTATCGTCCCGGCCCTGCTGGCTTGCATCGACCCTAACAACGGAGGCTGCCCTAGAGTGCTGCATCGAGCTTTGCTGACGCTGGCTGTGGTGGTGGAGGCGTGTCCCGAGGGCGGGGTTATGCCGCACGCCGAGGCGCTCTTGGAGAGGTATGCATATAGCAGTCGTGGGTCCGATATAAGATGGGAGGGTCCAAATAGGTTGTCACGTACTCGACCCGCAAGTATAGTTGAGGACCCTCTTGTTCCGGTAGAAGAGGGGACTCCCATACAAGAGGGTCGAGGGCCTTTGTCACACCACCCTCTTGTAATGGAACCACGATTGTATGTAATTTAGCGCTGTAGATGACACCTGAGGTATCGTATCCCCTGGGGTGAAGTTCGACGGTCGATTAGACTACTCCACGAATGGCGGTGCCGACAAGGGCGGCATTGGAACCGTATCTGTCCAGGAGGTGTGCTATCTTACGTCAGGTGTGGTAGGTCCGTGGCGTCGTCTACGTGCTGTTCCTGCTGGCGTGTGAGCGCATGTATTGGGCTCGCTGTTCGAATCTCTCTGTCTCTCTCTGTCTCTCCCTGTCTCTGTCTCTCTCTTTCTCTGTCTATCTCTGTTTTATCTCTTGTGGGTGCTGCCGTCGCGTTTGCTTCCATCTCTTGCATTGCTTTCAGGTGCGTGATGCTGATCCGGCAGGGCCCGGTGATGGTGCAGGAGGCGGCGGTGGCACTGGTGTCCGCGGCGGCGGAGGCTGCAGAGGACGAGGACTTCGGGCGCTTCTACGACGTCGTCATGCCCTTCCTCCTGCAGGTTGGTTTAGCGCGGGGGTGGTGGTGGTGGTGACGTGGGTCTGTCGATTCTACGGTGCCCTTTTTTGTTGTTTTTGCATCATTGCATCAGCTGCGTTTTTGAGGCTTGGGTTGCTCACGCTGCTGCTGCACAGCGAGACAGGTCTTGGAAGGGCCGATCAGATCAACTCAGCGGGCCGGCCGATTGCGTGTTTTTTGTCACCACGCGGCGATTATTGGAATTTATTCAGGATTCCCTCTCACGGCAGTATGTGGACAGGAACACGGCAGTATGTGCACAAGAAATAAAAAGTATTAAGCAAGAGGCGTTTTGGAAGCCTAGACTCCTCTTGATCTTGTTAGCTTATCCACAGCAAACTTGCGCGTGCTCAAGAGGTGGTACAAGTTGTGTGTTTTGTTGTCGAAATATGTACTTCGAAAGTATTCATCCAACATTCACAGTACGAGGTCGTCCGTTTCGGTTATGGCGTGCCTCTCTTTTTTTTTTTTTTCTCTCTTTTCTCTCTTTCCTCTCTTTTTCAGATCCTGAGCTCGTGCCCCGGACAAGAGCAACGCCTCCTAAGGGGGAAGACCTTGGAGTGCGTATCATTAGTGGGGGCCACCGCGGGCAAGGAGAGGTAGGCAATGGGAAGGGAATCGATTCAGCATGTTTTGTTGTGTTTCGTTGTTGCTGGTGGTGTTGGTGTTGGACATGATGCCGCCGATTTGGATGCTGTTGTGTTGTATCAGGTACGTGATGGTGCTAGATGCCGCTGTTGCTAGCTCTGCTGTGTTGGTCGATGCCGTTGTTGGTGATGATGTTGCTGTTGTTGACGTTGTTGTCGATGCTGTGGGTTGTTGATTGCTGTTCTAAATGGTGACGATGCTTGTTGTTCATGGCGTTGTGCCCGTCAGGTTCGGCGTGGACGCTCTGTCGGTGATGCAGCTCATGGTGCAGGCACAAGCTAGCGGTCTCGATGATGACGACCCAACCAGAGTCTACATGCTCAGGGCCTGGGTGCGCATCTGGTGAGTGCGCTCGCGAAGAAAAATGCAACAAGAGCATGCGAGTGTTGTTGTGGGCCCAGGTCCAACTGACCACCACCTCTTGTTGATGTTGTCGACATCTCTTTGGTGATGCTGTTGTTGCTGCTTCCGTCGCTGTTGTTGGTTCGGCTACCGGAAGACGTCAACGGGGCTTGTGACGGTAGTGACATGCCTCGATCTCAGACCCACTCCAAGGGACGTTGAGAAATACATGCGGACCATTGAGAATTGTTGCGAGACGTATTGTACGGAAAAGTTGCTTTGTCGCTGCCAACCCACCCGCCGTACCCACAGTGCCCCGCACGTTCGTCCTAAATCCACACGTTGTCTAACATAAGTATTGTCTCCTTCAATGCACCCCTCCCCGCCAACGTTTCGTTTATTTTCTTTCGGCGTAACCGCCTTTGTACCCTGTTGATGCCGATGCTGATGTGGTTGGTGCTGCAGCAAGTGTCTGGGTCCGGACTTCGTCCCGTACCTTCCGCTCGTCATGCCGCCGCTGCTGGCTGCTGCGTCTGCCAACGTGAGTGCTTCCGTCAAGCCTCAAACGCCTTTTGGCACCGTGTGTCGGCGCTCGTGTGGCGGTAGTATTTGCTGTCAGCTTCGTCTTCGTGTTCGTGGTTAGTTGTAGTTGTCGCGTTGCTGTTGTTATTGGTGGTGGGGGTGGAGGTGGCGATTGGTGGTTGTATTGTCGCTTCTCTTGCTCGCGCGCGTTCAGAACGGATGGAGTTCATGCATACTCCCTATGCTACGAAAACCTGACGGTCTTGTGGTATCTCTCCTGCTGCTTGCTGCTCCTTCGTGTCTCTGATGGCTTTGCGCGGCGTGACGTCTTTCCGTGATATGTACGCATATGCATACAACAGGTCGAAGTTGAGCTTCCCTCGGGAGGAGGTGACAGCGATGAGGCGGATGTTGACGAGCTCGACAGCGACGTGGACTGCATGGAAGGCCTCGATGGAGAGGTGAGAAGCGATCTACTGGGACTGTGGCGCGACTGTCAAGGGACTGTCATGGAGACGTCACGAAACTGTCATGACGTGTGTGACGAGACTGTCACAAGTCTTGGCGTTACGAGACTGCTGTTACTACACCGTCACCAGTCTTTGCCGCGACTGTTACTGTTGTTTTCGAGAAGCCATCAAAGTGCGTGGCATTCATTATTCATGGCCCGGCAAGGTCCTATTCGCCGACGTCCTGCCGGTTTACTTGTTTTCATTGGTCTTGGGTGTTGCCATCCCCGTCCTCTTCCGTCCTTTTAGGTGGTGGCCGTACGAACGTGGGCGTTGGAAGAGCAGGCGACGGCGTGCCAAATGATTCTGCTGCTGGCGGAGGCGTTGCAGGTCGGTGACTCCACGGTTTGTCCGTTTTTTTTGTCCCTCCTGCTTGTTCCTAGACATGCTAATTATGTCATTTTGTCACCTTTCTTTTTCCTAGTAGAGCCTGCTTGTGTCCTTTTTCATACCCTTTTGCGTTTGATCTTTCGTCCTGTATGGTGGATTGCAAGCAATCCCGAGGTCTCGTGGGTGTAGCGGTTCTTTGGACGCGATCTTGATCTTGACCCCCGTCTTTTCATCCGCCTTTGGCCGTGGTGTTTGGTGCGCATCCTGTGTCTTGTTTTCGGTCGGTCTCAGGAGCACTTTCTGCCTTACGTGGAGGCCGTGGCGGGACAACTCGCGCGACTCGTCAACAGCAGTCCCCACGACGATGTCCGGTAAGCGTTAGCGTTGCTTTGGGTTGCATTGCGTGGCAAGCACCACTCCGGAGTGTCGGAGGGGCACAATGGTGGATTCCGGCTGTTGTAGCATGTCAAAGACTGATTTTGAAATGCATTAAATGTGAAGGGTGCTTCTGAAAGGATGAGCTCGTGTGCCAAATTACTTCAGTACCGTGAGCTCGCTACACGTAGAGCGCGCCAAGCAGGCTTCACTGCTGTCTTGCTGTTTTATACTTGTCAGCACATTTGTTTTCGAGGTAGTTGACCACGGAATGCGTCAGCGTTAGTTGGACCGGTACTGAGCACAGACGGGAACGTTTTTTAACGTGAAATGTACGTTTCTATTGACTTGCGGACCCTTCGAGTCCATTTTATTGTAGTATACCTTTTTCGGGTAAGTTAGCCTGTGACCACGGGAATCGACCGCGTCGAGTGTTCGGCTAATGCGGACAGAAGAAGGTACTGGGTAGAGAGACCGGAACGGTTTTTGCTGTGAAGACAACGACCAAAACAACAACAACAACAACAACAACAACGACGTGCACCCCCCTCGTTGTCTGGTTCTTTGGCGTTCCACGTCCCCTACGTTACTGTACCACTACCAGAACGTTCTGCATGGCGGCGATGCCTGAGCTGGTGCGAGCTTGCGGCAAGGCGGCGGTAATGCCAGGTGACACCCGAATTACCACGCACAATTCACGTCGTCGGGTAAATTTACCAACATCACGAGCAGAGGAGAAGCTTGCTTGGTGCACGTGTCTTTTTTTTTTTTTGTGGAAGAGCAAGTTGCAACGGACGTCTTTCTTTTCATCCTGTCTACTGTATTGTACCTGTTCGAAAGATTGAAAGACTCTTCTTCCTTAGTGGCGGCGAACTGCTCGGGTTACAAAAGCCCCATCTGCCTTTAGCGTCGCCCCCGCCCACGTACAGCAACAGAAACACTTTGAAAATTCTCAAACACGTTAAGATCCCGACCTTTGCTGCGAAAGTTGATTATATCCTGAAGTTTTCTTTTTTGTGGCCATCCTTGCTGTTTTACATATCTTGACCAATGAAAATGAATGGAAATCCTATGGTAAGGTTCGGACCTTCAGGGGGGGCGTGTCCGGCAGCTTCTGGAGTTCTGCTTGGGCAGGCTGGTGGAATCTTTGGACAAGGAGGAGGACGCGGAGCTACTCATGACGGCCGCTCAGGCGTGCAAGCGATGCGTCTACTACGCTTGCGTGAGATGGGAGGTCCACACGGAAGGTGCGGTGTGGCGCTGTGTCGTGTGCGTTGCTGCATGTGTTTGTGTGCTCGTCGATGTCTCTTGCGTGAGAGACAGAGAGACCACGCTCGCATATAAGCACGCACGACCCACGGGAAAAATCCCGTCGAAACGAACGTACATTTGTTGGTGGGTGGAATTGCTCCGTGTGTATGTGGCGGTGTCCGTCTGCTTGGCGAAGTTCGCTGTGTTTTCTGCGTGCGACTGAAGTTCTTCACTCAAATAGTTGTGCGCACTCGTTTTCATCTTTACGCCTTTCTTAAACACCAGTTCTGGTGTCATGCAACGTCAACGATTCATTCATGCGATATGTACGCATCTTACACAGGCCGCGTGGAACCCCCCTCCCCCGCTAATTTTGTCCAGGCATGGACGATCCCGCGGACCCGCGGCCTTCGACTTGCCGACGGGTGCTGAACGAGGATCAGTCGAGGGTGCTCGCAAGGGCAGCGCTAGGATGCCTCGGGCAGAGTTTGCGAAGAAGGGCGCTCAGGCGGGCGGAGGCGACGGCTAGTGAGGACTGGGATGAGGAGGAGGAGGAGAGGGCGCAGGCTGCCGGTGAGGGTTGGTGGTGATGTGGTGGAGCGTACGAGGTACCTGTTGCTACCGTCGTCGCCATGGCTGCCGGTATTGTTGTTGAGGCGGGTGGGTAACGGTGGTACGCGGTGTTGTGGTTGGGACATCGTCATGGAGTTGTTGTTGGCGGAGGGAGTGGTAGGCGCTGCTGTCGTCGTATTGTGCTGACGGTGTGACATTTGGCGGTGACGTCTTGTCGGTCATGTTAACTAAATACGCAACCTCGGAGAATTCGATCTGCTGACTGATGTCTGCCTTGAATGTGCCGCGAATGGCTTAATGGCTGTTTTTTGTTTCTTGTTTCCAGGCGAGGAAGAAGTGGAACTTCACGTGAACCTTGCGGAGCTCCTGGGCTTCCTTTTCAAGACCCACGGAGAGGCATTTTTCCCCGCCTTTGAGGAGTTGCTTTTGCCGAGCGTGCTGGAGATGGCGAGGCCGGACAGCCTGCCAGAAGACAGAAAGGTATGTAGCATACGGCAATGAGCACGAGAATGCATCAAGAAACAGCAGTACGAGCAGTGGTGGCAGCGGCAGGGGTACAGTAGCGGCCATTGTTTTCGTGTGCTGTATCATATGCATAACTGTCGTGAGCGTCATGTAGATGAATGCCCAATGGTGCGGTTGGCGTTTTCGTCTGTTGCAGGCCGTCATGTGCGGGCCTGTGTGATGTACATCGCAACATACTTCCATTAGTTGGCCGGGTGTGATTTGTTGTTGTATTTTATTTTTCAGTTGTAGGGACTCAATATCATACAGTGGGGGGCCATTTTTTTGTTTTTGGTGCCGGTGCCCGGCATAGTCCTGTTGTTTTAGGCGGGCACACACTGAATTTCCACGTCAATCTCAATACTTGGAATAGTGACAGTCCCGTGTAGTGCCGGTGAGCTTTCTTGGCATATTCCGGCATGATACAGGGACCTCTTCTAAAACATCCATTTCTTTGCACCCCTTTTTGCTGTAGCTTGATCTCTGTCATGTGTGTACGTAGCTTCGATGTGTTGTCATCTCAATCCACCCCAAGTCGTGCCGCCGCCGACATTTGGCGTCGTATCATGTGTAGGTTAATGCTTGCGCTCCACACTCCGCCAGAGTGACGCATTGTGCTTTCAAAACTGTTGATTCTCCCATCCCGCTCCCACGACGGTATCACGTGTATCTACCGCCGTTCGTTTCCATGTGTGTGGTTCTTTCGTTAGCGTTAACCTTGACCGCGCTAACCGGTTCACCAATGAGAATACGTCGTACCGCGGAAAGACAGAAGACGCGAACACGTGTTTCTGATTTTTTTATGTTGTTTATCTATCGTTGATGTTTGTGTGTTTTGTTTTTTTTCAGGTTGCGGTTCACGTACTCGACCACGCGTTGGAGTTCGCAAATCCCGCCACCTGCGTGATTCTTCCTTCGGTGGTCCCGCTGCTGCTGGAGGCGTGCACAGACCAGGCTCCTTCCGTTAGTCTGGTGAGAAGGGCATTTTTCGATACCGATTTTGCTCTGCGTCTTCAGAAATGGCCGCAGGTTCAGCGGGTCGTCAATTAGAAGGTCTTGTCTCTCGGTTCGTTTTTTTTTTTTTTTTTAGTCGACCACATCTGGGACGGCTCCTCGACCCAATAATGTAATTTTGGTTTCTGTTTTTTTTTTTGTTCGGTCATGCTCTGCCGTCGAATTCATTCAATCTCATGATGCACGTTGTTCCCCCCCTCCGCCGCCGGTGCGATTTGTTGTGCCGATCTCTCTTACGACCTCTGTTCTCTTTCGGTGCACCAGCCCGCCTTTTTTGGAGTGGGTGTATCAGCGGCAACGTACGGCCCGGGTTTTGCGCCGTTCAGCGGGCAGGCGCTCAAGGTGCTTGTCGAGGTCATCCTTCGCCCAGGTGGGTCGTCGCTGTCGCTTTCGTCGTCATCTTCGTCGTCGTTTTTGCTGTTGTCGTCGTCGTCGTCGTCGTTGTTGTTGTTGTTTTTGTTTTTGTTGCTGTTGTTGGCAGACTTGCGCCTGGACACGACTGGGCTACATGCACTCAACGTCTACTTCCACGTGTCCACATGAGCAGTTATTGTTGTCTATTGTCTACACTTCGCTTCACGCAATCAAATCCCTATTTGCATGTGTCCATAACACTACACTCGTGTGTTAATTTAACAGACGCGCGACACGATGACCGAGAGATGGCCACGGATAACGCGGTCAGTGCCCTTGGAAACCTCTTGGAGGCGCAGCGAGATACCCTGTCCAACCCAGAGACCGGGGTCGGGGGAGAAGAAGCGGTGGGGCGCGCGTGGGGTGTGTGGCTTGGGTACATGCCGCTTCGAGCTGATGACGAGGAGGCGGAGAAGGTGGGGATCGTCTAAGCGTGGTGAAGGGCGGGGCGGGGGGGGGGGGGCGTTGATGAGGCTGGTGGGCAGGCAGATCGTGTTCGAACGAGAATGACGTTGAAGGGCGGAGGCGTGTTTGCATGAGGGGAGGAGAGGCACTGTGTGTGCCGCTGTCTTCACATGGACACCCGTCTCTGCTCCGTACAGGATATATTCGAATCCTTAAAACAGAAGAAATAAAATGGACCCAGAAAAATCATCACCATGAGAGGTTGTATGTTCATGTGCACGCTGGACGTGAGGCCGACCGGGGCCTCGATATTATTCCTCGTACCCATCGGTATTTGGAGTATTTGGAGTATCTCGACGCATCTACCTACCGGCTACATTACGAACGTCCACCTCTGGCCTCTGCCTTGTTTTTTGTTCTTTGGCGGTTGCTTCAGGTGGCTGAGCAGCTCTGCCGACTGCTGACGGCGTCTTCGTCTCTTGCCGATGCCCGCGCCATCCTCGGGAGCCGTTTGGAGCGGCTGCCCTTGGCGCTAGCTGCGCTTGCTGAGGTGCGGCACGGTTGGTTGTAGTCGTTGCTGCCTTTTGCACTGTTGTTGTAGTTTTCGTTACCTCTGTGTACTTGGCTTAATAATTGTAACTTGTGCTACAACGTGGTTCAGGCCAAAAGAATAAAACAAGGCTATTGTTCTAGATGTGGCCGTCTACGCGTTCTGATTTTTTCCGTGCTTTTTTAGGAGTCGGGGCAAGAACATTTGCTAAGGCTGTTGGCTGTTGGCCCATGCACCACCCAGACACGGCATTGGCTAAACGTCTGTGGCGATTTCAACCACCGCCTGCCGCATCGTTTGGCATGCGGGTAGCCAAGTACCAATCAAGTGTCGTCCTTCCACGTTTCTCCCTGTGTGCCGACCGACGCTTATGTATACTGGCCTTCTTGCATCAACAGATGGCCGGCAGCGAACTAATCGGTCCCGAAGTTCGACAACAAGTCGGCCAGGCGATTCTGATGCTTCAGGCGGGAGGGGGGCACAGCGGTGGCGTCCTGGACGGGGGGGGGGGCGATCGAGTGCCGGTGGAGTCGTTCGCAGCGGCTGCGGCCGGACTAGGGGCGGAGCGAAAGAGCTGGCTTGATGCTGCTGCCGCCGAATTCACGGCCCTCTGCCATCGCGTTTGACTGTTAGCGATCATGTTAAATCTTTTATCCGCTGAATGGATGTTTTGAATTGAACCGATCGATGATGTTCTGGTTGGTTTAAGACTTGGTGTCGTCGATATCGTGCTGATCGATTTGTTAAGGGTTGGTCGCGTTGCTGGCGATTTTCATCTTTTGTGTGTTTTGTTTTATGTTTTTCAGCCGTTTGTGTGGTATGCGTTTCCCGTCTGCCCAATCAGTTTTCTCGGTACATTTGACAGCCTCCGCCGAGTGTTGGCGCTTTTCTCTCTTCGTCTCTGACATGGCCTTCTTTGAAGCACCAACAAATATCACGATGCTCGTGTATTTTCTGCTCGAGTACACAAGCGTTTCTGGCGACCTCAGACGCCATTGTTCAATTTCGAAACACAGGAGCCAGGCGATTGTTGGGTGTAGGGAAGAAATGCTCTCGATGTCAAGTGAGGGACGGGGGTGGGCGTAGAGAAGAAATTACTGCCTGGCTGGAGTCCATTTACTGTTCGTGTCACTCTTCCAATGTTTTGAATGTTTGGCCACTAAGGTGTCGAATTGGATGTGTCCATTTAGACGAGTCAACAAATCGCGGGACATGAGTGAATTTCCCCGTGGACATGTGTGATACATGGCTGTGCGGTGTGTGTGATTCATAGACGGTCCTGCTGCAGGTAGAACAAATCACAAGTCACCGGCGACACCATGATGTGTTTTCTTTTGAAGTCGCGTGTCGTAGCCTACTTTGTCTTTGCTGCATGTGTCCGAGAGAACGAAAATCTGACGAGCGGCGACACACTCGACCCTATTCTGTGTGTTATGCTGCTGTCCTATCTTACGCGTTGGTTGTATCGTTGTATCGTCGGTGCGTTAGTTGACGTGTGTACTCCGTTTGAGTTTTGCCACCCTCACACGTGGGAGCAGTCGACAGTACGCCGCAACCAAGAGTGCAGCAAACCTACATAGCGAAGGAGAGGGTACTTGCTGAGTGCGGTGATCATTCCTTGTATTTTATATTAATTACAGAGGGCCGCGGGGATCTTCAGCTCCTGCCCCTGCCCGAGCCAATCGCAGTACCCAGTGGGAGTAGGGATTGGTGTCAATGAGCACCTCAAGTGCACCTTGCTTCTGTTGGCTGAGGGACGGTGGCTGGCCTATGGTATCTGCTCGGCGTGCAGCGATAGATTGATTGTTCTGACACGTTTTGTACGATTCGGTATTATTTTGTCCCTCCCTGTACAACAAGCGCTTGCTTGGCTGTCAAAGCGTTTGCATACATTGGCGGCTTCTTCCAATTTTCGGTTGCAGCGGTGGGAGCGTCTCCTATGGCAGCAGACTTGGGACGATTCATGGTACATGTGTCGGCAAAGGGGGAGCGTTCGTCGAAGTCCTCGGACTGGAATACCATGGTAACAAGGCAATCATGCCAGCAAAACTAGAAGGATAAAGGAGGAGCTTGACTCAACCATGTTTTTCCGGCTTCTTCTCGGAAGAACCAAACGGAAAATAATTCGACTCGGAGAAATCTCTTCCAACAGCCGCAGTTTGCCTAAACGATGAACAAACCGGGAGGGAGGCGTTCGAACCCGGAAAAACAACCAAACACAGGGAACAGGAAGAGGTAGGTCCTATCCAGACAAAAGAATGAAAGCCCGTCGCTCCCGCTCGGCACCTACCTGGCTGGTGGAGGAAGCAGAAGGTGTGCATTTTCAGATGAAATATCTTTCTTTCGGCTGGGTGTTGTAGAAGGCAGGAGCTTGCTTGGCGTGCAGCACACCATTGCTGCTTGCCGACGAGCGGCACTGGGAAGGAGGTTCTCAAGCGGCCTCTTTCCAGCCTGAAGATACGTGTGGGCCAACAACCTCTCGACTACGGTACTTTTCGCTTTCGACGAAATCTGAAATCTTGGGCTACGCTGCGGAGGGAGAGATTGTCGCCAAGTTGCGCCGCACCTTGTCCTCTGATTTCGACGTGGAGAAACGGTTTTTTACGCTGATGAACCCGGGCGTGAATCGCGAGCTGCTGGAAGACATCGTGTATAGCACGCACGGTGAGCGTGAACTCAGCAACCCGGGGCGGCAGGACGCCATGTCGTCTATGCCCACGACTGAACCACACTGACCAGCATTAAGGAATAATAAAAGCACACACAGAAAGACTACCCATTCGAGATATACCCACAGTCGAACGGGATGTGGTGGAGTCTTTTCAGTGAGTGGTGAGTGGTGTGAGTGGAGGAAAACCGGCTGGCATGATCAAGGAAAAATAAAAACACACACAGAAAGACTATGTACCCATTCATGATCTTTTCGGCGGCGGAATTGTTCGGGACTGTCAGTTTTTTCTCAGCGATAGCGTTCGTTCCAGCGGCAGCATTCGCACGGCGGGTTAGGCAGATTTTGTGGGTTTCATCAGCTGACGTCGTGTGTGGTGTATGGCAGCGTTGGTGAATTTCAGCAGCTTCTGCGGCAACAGCAGCTGCTGGCGGCCGGCTTCGCCGGCGGTGTGGGTGGACAGGTGAGTGATGAGTGTTTGTTGGTGACAAGGGGGGGGGCTGCTGCCGGTTCTTTCCTGTTGTATTATTAGTGTATACCAACACGGCAACCGGAGTGTAACAACTGCTAGCTTATCCCCGTCACGGCAGGTAGAGTATAGCAACTCGATGTCTGCGCCCATGGATGTTGCAGACGGGGTGTATGTCAACACGCAGCAATGCAGCAGTAAGCAACTTCTGACTTGCGCAAATAGATTGACTACAAACACCATGCAATTTCTGCATATGCATAGCAGTACAGCAACCTGCCAATCCGAGCAACACAGCCACTTCTGATAACTGTAGCCTAACATCACAGCAGGCGGAGTATAGCAACTTCACTGTCGGCGACGGAGGGTGGTACGCGGGGTGAATAGCAACACGGCGAGCGGAGCAATTAAATTGCCTGCTTATCACCCGTCGCAGCAAGTTGAGTTTTGCAACTCAATTTCGGCATCAGTGGGGGGGGGCGGCGGTAAACGGGGTGTAGAGCAACACGGCAAGCGGAGTGTAGCAACTGCTAGCTTGTCACCGGTCACCGCATGTGGAGTAGCAACGCGATTTCTGCACCGATGGGGGTTTTAAACGGTGTGTGTAGCAACACGGCAAGCAGAGTATAGCAACTGCTAGCTTGCACCCGTCCCAGAAGGTTGAGTGTAGCAACTCAATTTCGGCCTCGTTCGGTGGTGGGGGGGGGGGAAACGGTGTGTGTACGTAGCAACACGGCAAGCGGAGTAGCAACTGCTCGCTGGTCCCCGTCACTGGAGGCAGAGTATAGCAACTCGATTTCTTCACCGATGGGGATTGTAAACGGTGCGTATAGCAACACTGCAAGCGGAGTATTGCATCTGCTAGCTTGCATCCGTCACGACAGGTACTGTAGAGCATAGCAACTCGATTCCTGCACCGCATCGATGGGGGGGGAGGGAGGGGGGTTGTAGACGGTGTGTGTAGCAACACGGCAACCAGAGTAGCAACTGCTAGCTTGGACCCAGCAGGAGAGTACCGCAACTCAATTTCTGCACCGATGGGGGTTGTAAACGGTGCGTATAGCAACACGGCAAGCGGAGTCTTGCATCTGCTACATTGCATCCGTCACAACAGGTACCGTAGAGTATAGCAACTCGATTCCTCCACCGCATCGGCAGCGCTACGTCACGCTAGCGCGCAGCAATGGGAAGTATAGCAACCTCTGACTTGCGTAACATCACAGAACGCGGAGTATAGCACTTCGATGTCTGCGACGGAGGGTGGGGAGTGGGGTGTATACCAACACGGCAACCGGAGTGTAACAACTGCTAGCTTATCCCCGTCGCGGCAGGTAGAGTATAGCAACTCGATGTCTGCGCCCATGGATGTTGTAGACGGGGTGTATGTCAACACGCAGCAATGCAGCAGTAAGCAACTTCTGACTTGCGCAAATAGATTGACTACAAACACCATGCAATTTCTGCATATGCATTGTAGCAGTACAGCAACCTGCCAATCCGAGCAACACAGCAACTTCTGATAACTGTAGCCTAACGTCACAGCAGGCGGAGAATAGCACCTTCACTGTCGGCGACGGAGGGTGGTACGCGGGGTGAATAGCAACACGGCGAGCGGAGCAATTAAATTGCCTGCTTATCACCAGTCGCAGCAAGTTGAGTTTTGCAACTCAATTTCGGCATCAGTAGGGGGGGGGTGGCGGTAAACGGGGTGTATAGCAACACGGCTAGCTTGTCACCGGTCACCGCATGTGGAGTACAGCAATTCGATTTCTGCACCGATGGGGGGGTTGCAAACCGTATGTATAGCAACACAGCAAGCAGAGTATCGCAACTGCAAGCTTGCAACCGTCCCAGAAGGTTGAGTGTAGCCACTCAATTTCGGCCTTGTTCGGTGGGGGGGGGGGGGGGGGGGGAAACGGGTGTGTAAAAACCCCGGAAGCGGAATAAAAAAAC